ACAAGTGACTGTAATAGTCGCAAATAACAAATCATTTCACACATGACTGTATGTTAACCAAAACTGAAAAATAATACTACCAATAATAATGGTGTAAATGACTCCCAAAATAAAAGCCAGATACTCAGACAGCTCGCTAAATTTCTACACTAATCCATGGATTTCATAATGGGGGCTAAACCTTAAGTGACACACGCGCGGCCCAATGAGAATGGGCCATGCGTGAGGGGGAGGGGGCAGCTGGCCAGAGAGGCAACAGGTGGACGCTGACAAATGAACAGACGTGGGCAATGGCAGGGAGAAGAGGTGCGGCAGGTGCTAGTCAGGGTATTTATATTCATGATTTTGTTTTCCTCCAGTCAGCATGTTATCACAGCAGTGCTGCCCCGTCCTGCCCTGCTCTCGGTGCCTTAAAAAGACACAAGGTTCTGGCGTCAGCGTCCACCAGACACATATATCCTGAATTTGTGTCTGTCTCTCTTTCTCTCTACAGAACTGTCTTTTCACAGCTACATTCTTATTGGATAGTGCACAGGGACGATTTGCCACAAGAGACTGTGACAAACCCGATGTGAATGTTTGTAGGAATGGGCGCCACAAAATAACAAGCAGACATTTCTTACCGGACACCTCCACAATGTCTCCAGGGACAATTTCTCTGGCCTTGATCATCTGCACACTCTTTCTGTCAGAACGGTAAACCTTGCCCATCTCAGGCTCATACTCCTTAAGAGCCTCGATGGCGTCTTCAGCGTTACGCTCCTGTGGCAAACACAGACAAAACAGCATGAATAAACATTTTTAATTGTGAAAAAGTAAACAGGCCTGAAGCGCATTGATTATAATTAAACTGATTTTCAACACGGATGCCTATTCTGGTTTGATGGAAAACTATACTCAGTTTGCCCTTGATGTGGCACTGGCAATGTCCTCCAAGAGGCTGTGAGTCATAAACACAGCAATTACACACTGAAACACAACCTACTGACGACATATGAGCCGGTCATAAGTTCTATTCCAACCTAAATTACTTAGAATCAGGTTTCCATGTGCCTCTTTTTATAAACACCAATGTATGTATGGGAATCTGTGTTCCATAGCATCATATGGCACTGACTCTGAAACAGATACCATATGCTGTGTTCAGAAATAAAATTTCACACAATAAAATTTGATCCGAGATGCAGAACATAGATCTCTTTACAGCGGGGTTCTGCTGGAGTCAGTTCTGACTTTAATGAGCAGCGGATTTTTTCCCTCACTGACTGATGTCTAATGATAGCAGTGCTGTTTAGTTAATGGGTTGAATGACTTGCATATTGTGAATCATCAAATGCTGCAGTCAAAACATAAACTGGGCATGAGCTGTTGCTCAACATGGAAAACATGGCAGTAACTGGAACCTGTGTGCTGCCGGTCGTCTTTGCAATGGATACACCTTATCGCTTAATGAGCCGCGGCCTGTCACTGACCTGCCACACTCCGACGACGGCATTGGCGATGAGGATAAGAAGGATGACGAAAGGTTCAACAAAGGCGGTGATGGTCTCCTCGCCTTCCTCAAACCAGGCCAGCACCTGAGGTCAGAGTGGTGGAGAGTAAAGTCAGTGGAGTGGAGACAGCAGGTCATACCCTCATACATTTATATTGAATGGACCAGTTACATGGTTAAAACCTTTTCATTGCACCAGAACAACAGGCTCATAATGAATATAATGTGTGATTGTAGTTAATGTGTGATAGATGATATTTTCTTTGTGGAATGTGGAAGCTACCATCAGGAGGTTGAGTTTTTAGAGGGCAATCATAGATCTGTACGTATTTAGCATTTTGATAATATAATTACACACAAACTATGTGAAATAAATATAGTTAAAATATGAGATAACATTTATAAGCTCAGTTATAAAGGCTGTTATTTTGATAATACCTTTTGAATGTCACAATCTGATTGCGTAATTGTTGTTAACTTGATCTCATCGTCCCATAACTCATTGCTCCTTATGACTTCCACACTCTTTCTGCAGAGGCCCTTCGTTCCTTCCTTCAGGCCTGACCTTTCCCGAAGGATTCAGTTTCTCTCCTCAGCTTGGGGCTTTCTTAAAATAAACCCTTACCCCTTCAGCCCCCCTATACTTCCCTGACCCCTGTCTCTCACTGGCTCCTCAATATTCGCCTTCTAAGGCCATCGTGACAGCTGGCTGAAGGGGTGAAAGCTGTGCATAGGAATTAATACACCTCCGACAAGCCTTTGCAATCTGCCTCCCTCCTCTCAAGTTGTTGTCCTCAAAATTGCACAGAAGGGTGGAGGGACTTGGAGGCGGTTTAAGAAGTTGTCTTGGCAAAGTGGTCAGACAGAAATGATCAACAACATGGATGCTTGTTTGCTGGATTAGTTTGTGTGATAGTTTTCCTCCTCGTGGGTTTTAAAGTTCAATTAATTAGTCATTTCCAGGTGGTAGCCCTTGTGCCATAAAACTAAATTAATGAAAATGTATTTAACCTTAAAAGTTGATTTTTTTGCTGATGATAAGTTTAATAAAATATGCATAAACCATTCTTTCATGGAAAATATTCACTAAAGCTGAGTTTCTGGGAAATTGGTCCCATGTGACAACGGTGTCTCATGTCTAGTTCTGTTTCTTGAGTTTAAAATGAATGTGACAGTAGTGATCACAGTTTGAAATGAGTGGCATGGATTATAAATAATACTTGTTCACTTACAAAAGAGATGCAGGCAGCCAGCAGCAGGATCCTGACGAGCAGATCCTCGAACTGCTCAACGATCAGCTCCCAGATGCTCTTACCTGAGACAAAGAAAAAAATGAATATAAATCAATAAATGATTATCAGTCAATTCAATGTAAGTACTGAAATGTGCAAATGAGTGTGTATTTGTATGCAAAGGGTTGTACTTCAAGTCAAATGCCTTGACTAGTGATCTTTGTTTGATGGTAAGAATGGAATACACAGTGTAAGTGACAATCTAAATGCTGCCTGCATGTTTTTACTACAACCCATCTGTGGAGGAGGGCCAGCTCAGAGTAGTAATGATGGTCAAATCTATCTGGGTCAAACCAGGTGTGAGGACGTTCTTGTTCAGATTTAGACATGTTGTAAATGTGGCTGTACGGACGAACACTTACCCTCCTCAGCAGGCAGCTCTGGAGTCAGACACAAAGGTGAAGGAGGCGGAGGAGAAAACAGAAAGAAAGAAGGGGAAAAGATGGTGAGTTCAAATCATTCACGTTCATCAGGAAACATTTGGAGAGAAGCTTTACTTCTTGGTGTAAGAAACTAAATGTGATCACAAGGTCACTGGATTCTGAAACTCCCTTTTCTAAATTCCCTGAGAGCTTAACACTTGATCCCTTCAAGAGTTGTAAACAACTGAAGAAGTCCATTAAACTGAATCAGCAATTGACATCGGATCATTTTGATGAGAAATCTAGGCCTGATGAAAACCTCCCTGAAGTGGCTGCTCATTCTATGAATTCCTTAACAAAATAAAAGCGGCTCATGAAAAGACAACAGAAACATGCATTTGCACCATATCACAAAGTCTGTGCTATCTAATTTGCCATTAAACCAGTTATTGATCAGCAATCATATCAGGGATCATTTAGCCATAAGCCATCTAAGGACCTCCCTTTTTTGCCTGGCCTAAAATTATCCACCTCTCCTGTTCACGCCCGCCCCATATATCACCCAGGAAGCTTCTTGAGCCATCACCTGTCTCTCTCGCTCTCCAGCCATCTTCTTTGGCTATCTTTAAATAGCTCTTCAAAGCCCTCAAAGTCTCTGCTTCTCAATGTCTCTGCATTTCTACCAGCTGTTGCAACTCCTCTCTAAAAAAGCATCACATGCAAAATCTCAACCCGGCCTGACCCGAGCGGCGTCTGTGGAAACTCCACTGGTGATGACTCAGGAAAACACTTCCAGCAAAAGTCTTAGTTTGTAGTCTCAATGCAAACACCTCTAACTGTGACAGTGATAAGTTTCCCTACGTTACTTCTCCCAGAAGGCCTCCCACCCCATCCCTGACGCCCATGCTCTCACCATTGAAGCCATACTTGTCCAGGTTCTTCTTGAACTGGTCGGGGGTGAGACCGCTGGTCTCGTTCACCCCAAAGTACGCCAGGCATTCTGCCGGAGGCTTTGTGTGAGCGTTGTCCATCCTCAGTGGATAGACGAGGGATTAACCGTGTAAGCGTGCCTATCCGTGCTCTTTTACTTCTTTGTTGTTCTATGCAGGTCTCACCCTTGGTCCACCACCCTCACCTTTAAGTGTGGCACCCTCCAATTCAGGAGTGCTGGACTGACAGAAAGAGCGAATAACTGTATACATCCACAGGGTTATATACCCCCAAAGGGCTCGGGATTGGTGGACACCCCCGTTTACACACGCCTCCAAATTCCAGCATGGGAGGACATGGTGGGACAGTGAGGGTGGGGCTCGAGGTGGAGCAATGGGGAGGTGAGGTGGACTTGGACAGGAACTGAGGACCAGGCTTGTATTTGGAAAGGAGGTAGTGCAGGACAGTGATGGTACAGGGGGCTTCAGTGGGGGTGGGGGGGGATGTGGGGGTCGGTGTCGTACTGTGGATGAAAATGAGATCTGTTTTTGGAACATGCATGGTCAGTGGAATAAGACGAAGGGAGAAGGTGAGAGAGTGAGACAGGAGATCATCCAGAGGGGAGGAGGGGGTGGGGGGGGTGGGGGGTGCATTGAGTGACGGCTCAACTGGTTTCTGCTGAGGAAGGTGGCCGAGCCAGAGTGAGACACAGACGGAGGGAGATAGTGGACAAGTAATTCCAGACAAGAATTAGCTGGCGCACTGACACGTGAAGTTCTCGAAGACCGTGAACAAAGCTCGAAGCAGAAACGAGGAGTTTTGTGCTGCAGACCTGAATCGTCCACCGTGATCAACATGTGCACATTCATCTCAAGTTATACAGAGCCAGAAACAAAGGCTCGATAATGTCAAGGATTAGTAAAATATGGCAATCGTAATGAAAAGGTGTGTAGTAGAGCCATGAGTGCTGGAAGACAGTCAGCGTGCCATACTACCGCAGCACAGAGGAGAAGCCCTGGCTGCAGATACAGGAGGATCAAGTTTTATTTCTCTTTTTTATGAGGAGGGGAAGGCAGCGCGGAGACATGGCCCAGCCTCAGTAGATGTGGGACAGATGATCCGGGCCACAAACGGCCATTCAGCGAGGCACAATGGCCCCTTGTGGTGGAGTCAGAGCATTGAATTTGTTATACCAAGCAAACAAGTGTCCACAGGATTCAACTTAGAAAACTAGAATGGAGCTGAGCAGAGTGCAAACCTCCACCACGACCGAACAGAAACCACGATTAAATTCACTGCTTCCAAATTTTTTATTGGATCCGCAACAAATTGCAAACACACATTAATATCTGTCCCCTGAACATGTCTGACTGTTTTTATCAGAATCTGTGATTGACTCTGAGAAATAGATGAAATTGATAAAAATGGAAATGTTAAAGAAAGTGAAAAAATAATTCGTGAATCCATCCTGTGATCTGGATCCTCACTGGAATTCAGTGGGTTCTTCTCTGACCAAAGTTTCATGGTAACCCTTCCAGCAGTGAGTCCTGCAAACTCACAAACAAACAAACGCTAATGAAACACAATGTTTTTTCGGACTTATTGTTGTTAAAACACTAAATCCGGTGTAAAACTGAACGACGTGAGTCTGAGAGTGTTGATTTACTATTTGTTTGAACAGCAGTAAACAGGCTGCTGGGTGGTGCAGCCTCCTCTGTGAACAGGAATCCAAGTTGCTGTTGCTAATCAATACACTGACAGGTGTCCCTATAGGAACAGCAGTGGTCACTGCTCAGCACGCCTGACAGCTACAGGACACATTTTTGCTGCAGTCTATTTATTACTGCGCTGTGTTGTTTGTGTGAAGTGTCGCAGTGTCAAGCTACATCAAGGCTGTGAAGTAGGCTTTCGTCTAAAAATGCCCTTATTGGCAGTTGCTGCACAAGTTGCATTTGGACTGGATGGAACTCGAACAAATCAGGTCAAAGAAAGTCGGCTAAAGGGAAACAGCTGCAGCAACCATTTGTATCCTTACATATGTTAACAGTTATGTAATATACACAGTGTAAAGTTAAAAAAACAATGAGAAACACTGTCTACATTACAAACCTGCCTTAAATTTAAATAACTGTCCGATCATTTGGACAACCGACAGAAGATGAACATTTAATGTTGAGATTTATTATTATTTTAAACATTTATATGACAATAATGGTTTGGTTTGGTAAAGTTTCTGTATTTACCACTCAATGCGCTTTATGGCACGTGGAATGGGAAAGACTAGTATCAAGAAGATGACCCGCTCTACCCCCTGAGCCGCAGCTGCACCGAAATTATAAATAATGAATATAAAAACGTGTGAATGATAATATCGGCTGGTTATTGAGTCTGTTAATATCCTTGCTCTCTATTTATCAATGTTAACAACCAAACCTTCTGTACATCAGCTCTTTTCTCTCATAGCTGACGAACATCAAAAGTTCGACTTTGTATTTGAGTTTTCATTATTTGTCATATTAGACTTCAGAACTTGAATTCAAGTGATGATTGTCACAACTGCAGTTACACAACCTCAACAACTCACATCATGGTGTCAACGAACATATTCAGACACAAGATTTAGATTTTCTAAAATAATGCCACTGATCTTCACTGAGCTTTTTACAATATCAATGAATGTATAATAAATTATTTTGTATGTGGAGGTAACAAAAGATGGAAATGAAACAGTGAAAGCTCCAAAATATTTCCACTGATTTGCTCGATGACACTTCAGCAGGTCGACTCTGATCGAAGGTTCCCTGTGGACGGTCAGTGAGTCTGTAAAGTACTTTGTAATAATGAGGATGTATTTACAGTATTGGTCTACTTGTTACACAAACATGCTTCTGCTGCTCTTTCGCAGAAAATTTCTAAAATTGGAAGTTGTTTTTGTGGCAGCTTTCAAGTTTCCAATCAGGTGCTGGTTGACCAACTGACTCTCGGCCCTGTGGCCTTCTGCTGAGGGGCAGCTCCATTCCTGAAGGGTGCCATAAATCACCCCTGACGTAGAAGAGAGGAGCGGAAAGCACTTAGTTTAATGCATATTTTAAGCAGAAGCAGAATCACGCTGAGTAAAGCACTGAAACAGCACCATGGTAACACAGAGGATGGAATCTACTCCCTGCTAGTGTGAACATATATATAATCAAATAAACATTTCTGTTGCACATATACTGTATTCTTTTTTCAAAACCTTTTCCTTGATTCATTACTGGAGATATGAAAATGATTAGTGTGATGATGAGTGTGCAAACTCATGTAAACCAACAATCCACACTACACTCATAAGATATCCACACCCCAGCCAAACGCGTGGGTCAGCCAAGTACATTACAATTATCAATTTGTTCCCACATCTACAAGCAAAATAAACGTTTGGCACAAGCTTTATTTATTTATGCGTTCCTTGACAAGTTGATAAAACATTTATATTTGTTCTGTTCTGCCAGTGTCCCCATCTCTGTTTCACCCAGCCGCTCTCCGGGCCTCAGCTGTCGTACAGCCGTTGTGACCTCTGAGATTTGGGGGCTGTGATAGGGGTCGGCCTGTCAGTGTCTCCCTCAGGGCAGAGCAGTGACATTTAACTCAATATCCCAGAAGGATAAGGTTTCTCCCTCACTCCCCTCCATCTTCCGCCTCTGTCTATCCCTGAAGTGTCAGTGGTGCGAGTGTGCGGCGAGTACTACAGTGTAACCCCCCCCTGCAGGCTGGGACACCCATCATCTTCGACCCCCTCCTCGGCACTAACATGCCACACCTTCGTGCCAGGCTGAGGGATCACCATGTGCCGCCTTAGCCCGCCGAGCCCAACCCTCCGTCCTCGGCTTGTGAACTCTATACGTGTTCCCAGTTCTGTACAAGTGTTAAGTACTGTGGAGGTGCATCTTATGCAACTAAGTCCGTCTCTGCTGACTTGCATGGTACAAGCAAAGTGAGAGGGACAAGGCGACATTTGTCACCTTTAAGATGAGGAGCCAGGAAAGACAGACATACAGTGGAGCCCATGAGTCTGAACGGGGGGGGGGCGGTCTTGGAAGTTTGGACCCCACTGTATTATCATTAACGGCACATTCTGCGGGTCGCATGCTGGACCGACAGCTGGTCAATGCCGTCCTTTTGTGGGCAGATAATCAAGTGAGGGAACCCTTATTTAAAGTCGTCAGTCATAAACACATTCCTCTGTAGTTTTACGAACTACAACCCACAACACTAATCCCCGGCAACCTGAGTCTTATGTTCACGTGACAAATTAGAATGTTATTTAGAATGTTATTTAGAATGTTATTTAAAAAGCAGCATCGTCACAGCACTGAATCCATAAACTTCCCTGGTTCTCTCATTCTTAAAGGGATAGTTCACTTAAAAAAAAATGAAATTCACTCATTATCTGCTCACCACTATGCCAGTGGAGGGGTGGGAGGATCACTGATAACTTGGTGCAAATGACGCTATTTCGAGTCGAATATGAATGTCAGGGCTTGCGGACACTTGGATGACACCACAGGAGCTGTGCGGAGGTATCTCTGTGTTGATCTTTACGTTTAGAAAATCGGTCACCATTGACTTCTTTCGACAAAAGGGTTTTGTGGACTCGATCACTTCACCCACCCCTCCATCAGCACAGTGGTGAGTAGATGATGGGTGCATTTTTTATTTTTTGGTGAACTTTCCCTTTCAACGTTCATGCACGTGCAAAATAAATCACGGTGACCAAATGTTCGCTGAGCAACAGCATCAAACCTAATAACATAGGACACGTGTGGTATTGACAGTGAGGACATAATTAGCACTGGGCTATAAGGCAGCTACAGCATCAGTGTTAGCAGGGTACTTGTTACAGCATTAGCTAATAGTAATAATAGAAGTGGCAGCTGAGTCTCTGAATCCAGAATTCCTCGCGAGATATAAATAGAGCAGGTGACACCGTGCTGCCGGGTATGGCACCACCACAGCTTTGCAGCTTTTTTATTTCAGAATGCTGGACCTTCACTTCCTGCTCGTATAAGTCTGACTTTCAGGCAGAAAATAAGATGGGAGGTCGGAGGACGCATTTGACTCCACTGTGTCATCAGTGTCTACGTGGTACATTGGGCCGAAGGATTCCTGGTTGTTCACACCATTCCTCACACTTAGGCCTGTACTATATAAGCCACGGGGGAACCGAGAGAAGAGTGAGCCTGTTGATCAAAAGTGGCTCTGGTTTTACTGATGAGTGTCGTTTACGTGGCTGGCTCTGCGTTTTTTAGAGGCCAGCGTCGTTCAATGACAAGCAAAGACTTTTTGATTGGGAAAAAAATCAATGGCTGCTGAGGGAAACAGACATTCAGCTTCACAGATAAATTTAGATTTTAATGTGCAGAGAATTTAAGAGGGAGGGTTTGCAGAGAAATTGTTCTGATGGTACGAACTACAGTTTGTTACGTTTACTCATAAACTCTACTTGTTGCAGTAGATTCAACGCAGCAACATTTCTACAGGACTTTCCGTCTGAATTCACTTTCAACTTGTTATCTCTATTCATTTATTTGCTTTCATTCTTTTATATTTAAGCTCTAAGATCATGTCTGATGAGATCTTTAAATTGCTTTTAATTGTTTCCTATATTGTTTTCCCTCGATTCTTCATTTCTCACTCGTAAACCACTTTAAAAGTTCATTATTTTTTTTAATTACTCCTCAAATACAGTCAGCATGTACAGTATTTGATATCATCTGAAAGATAAACTCTTGGATACAACAGTGTTATTAAATTGGGAGATTATGACTATAATGAATAATAATAAAATCAATAAAATATAGAAATAATACAAGTATTATATCAGGAAATGCAAAACAATAAAAGTTTGTTTGAAGCTTTGATTCAAAGAGAGCTGTATGCTTATAGAAGAATCTTAAAGCTTTAAATTGGCACAAAATATGTTTGTTTCCCAAACAGCAGGTTGGGTTATTATGAGGTTTTTTTGCAGAAGTCTGCACGAGAGCAAAACTGTTCTGAAGCTTCATAATAGCATCATAAATTCAACAGTTTAGTGTTTCAGGCCAGAATAGCTGTATGAACTAGTATGTACAGTATTTGGTATCATCTGAAAGATGAACTCTCTGATACTACATCTTCAATATCTTGTCTATTTTGAGAACTCTTATCTAACCGGGACTCTATTTCTGGGTTGATCACTATGACTGATGTGAAGTCATCGTCCCATCATCTCTGAACCAGAGTTTGATTTTCTTTTGTTCTTTTTTTCTATCCTGCGGTGAGAAGTGAACACAAATTCACACACAAGAAACAAGGTCACATGTCTTCAAGACTCACTAACCAACACGAAAGTTAGAAACATAATCCTGTCGGAGGGCCACGGTGAGAATTTGAGACCACATAGCCACCGGCAAATTCTGATGACCAAGGGTGACCTTAAGTCTCCATTGACTTGCTATAAATGTACAGAGGATTGTACTGAAGGAGAATGAGGCCATGGACCCCGGCCCACACGTCGATGTACAGAGGATTACAATGGTTTCTACAGGATGTTACCAAATAAATGGGTTCACAATTTCCCTTGATTTTACTCTGCTCAAGCACAAGTTGGCATTTTTTAAACTTTTAAAACTACAACAAAGAGAATTTACAGAAAATGTGCTTCCATCTTTTAAAAGTTTTAAAAGTCCTAACCCAATACCCTTCACCCCTCACCTCATTGGTCCTGTAAAAGGAAGGAGAGGTGATGGTCTGAAGAAGGGTGTTGATGACAGGAAGACGAATGAATGCAAAAAGAGCCTGAGAAATGCCGAAGAAAGAAACGGGATCCTTTTTTGACAGAAATAGAATGAGGAATGAAAAAGAGCGGTACAGTCTTCTGCACAGCCCTTGTAAAGCAACCGAGACGAATATTACTCGTTAACAATGTCGTAAAAAGGATTTTGTACAAAATATCGCAATTACAGCAGCAGCAGAACAGTATTGTTGCATTGTAAGTACTTATGACATGTCCATGTTCCCTGGGGAAAATGTAAAGCACTGAGCATGTGGCTGAGGAGGTAAATCGGCCATCCTCTAACCAGAGAGACGGCGGTTCGATCCCAGTTTTCACCATCTGCTTGCCGAAGTGTCCTTGTGCAAGACACTGAATCCTGAATTGCCCCTCATAGAAAAAGTGTTGCCCATAAATGCACTGTTTGAATGTGTGTGAATGTTGGAATGGCACTAAACTTTACTGTAAAGTGCTTTGAGTGATCAGGACTAGAAAACAAATAAATACAGACCATTATGATTTTAACCAGAGCTCAGTGAAATGTTCCTGCTTCACAGTAGAGTCAGTGCTTCTGACTGGTGGAGGAAACTGAGCTCAACACTGCCTCTCTGTGGAGAACAGCCGGACATATCTATCCCTCAATCACTCCACTCATCTGCCATTTAAATCTTCACTTAAATTTTCACTTTATTGATTTTAAAGATCTTTAGCTGGATCTTTTGAAAAATGCAAAATAAATCAAATGGCTTTAAGCTGCTACATCAAGTCAAATAAAAAAAAAAGCCTTTTTAGAATATTTTAAATTGTTAATTTAATGCCTCGGCGATTTGGAATTAATCTTTCGACTATAATTGCCACAAAAACAGTGACATTGAGCGTAAAGAGTCATTATCACCCAGATCAAGTTAAGCCGGTGTCAAGACTTCAATTATAATAATATGTATGAGGCTAATAATTATATGAATACATTTGGACAAAAAAGCAAACAAATAATACATTTAAAACTCATTTTGCTATCGGAAATTTCAGTTTTTATTAGGCATCCTTACATAAGAGTTCATTGAGGGTCATATTTTCATTTTATTGCAGCAGGTTTTATTTCAGACCCGTAAAGAAATAAAATCTGACCGCAGTCAACTCTGAAGAGGGAGGATTAAATAACAATCAATAATTTAACCCCATGAGAGTTTAAAAATCAAACATGTGAATTTATACTTGTTTCAAATACTATCAAATATCATATGCCAGAAGTATGGGTTTGAATACTATTGATAATCATCAGTTACTTCCCAGTACTTTGAGTAACTGTGAGCAGACATAAAAACAGCTACTTGCAGGAGATCATCTACAGGTTTACAATAACAACAAGTCATCATTGTAGCTCAGATTCTCGCTTTATTGGTCAACTTGATGAAAGACTACAAAACGAATTCACAAAAAATCTCTTTCAAGTAATCAAATCTGTACAAACCTAAACTGTATGGGGTTTTTACAGCTCTGGCTCATATGAATCTGGAGAGTCATATGCATGTGTGTTGTGTGTGTGTGCGTGCACGAGTGAATAATCATGTGCTTGCTCGCCTGAGAAAAGGTGAAACGCTCGTTCCTGTTCAAAGATACAGAGACACCGAGCTCGGGCCGAGACAAGACGCTACATGCACGCACACACTCACGTGCACATACCTGTGTTTTGAGATTTTACAGTACAGAGGACAGGGAAAAAAAAAAACCAAAATACTTCCCCCCTCCACAAGTACACACACACGCCACCTACTGGCAGGGTTTGCTGCTAAAATTCATGTCCAGCAATTTTCCCACTGTCTCCCAAACCCTGCTTTTTCAGTCAAAATTACTGTACAGACAGACACTGTGGTTCAACCTTTCCACGGGAAGAGTGGTAAGAGAGAGGGGAAAGTATAAATCTCTAATACTCTCACACAAAATGTACACGTGCACACATGATTTTAATGCTCACCAGCAGAAGACACGTTTGTCGCCTGCGCACGCACTCATTCAGACAATTCATAACATTAAATGTTTTAAGAAGTACAGATAAAAAAGGAAAAAAGCCCTGGGTATAGGTTTGATTTCTGGCTGTTTGGTGAAAAGAAAGGAGAAGAGAGGTAGAGAGGGCAGGAGGGAAGGGTCGCAGGTCGAGGGCAAACTACTCGTGTCATTTCTTAGCTTTCCTTGGGGGAGTGACTGGGCGGCCAGAGCCCATTCCCCCTCCACCACCATAGAACAGCTTCTTGTCTGCAGGTTTGAGAATCTGTGAAAGGGAAACAAAGATGGATAAATCAACAACTGAACTGCAGCCTCACAGCTCCGCCAAATTGCAGTTTACAACTATGTCCATCTCATCATAGGTGGAGTGAAGACTGAACGAATTTAATACGGGTAATAAATGTAGTTCATCGTCATTCGTTAATGATTTTTTTGGACTAAAACTTATATGAGAGTTCACAGTGAACTTGACCTTTGACCACAAGAGATTCCCTCGCATTCATAAGAACAAGACAGAAAGATGTACAACCTGATAACAGGTGATCAGAGTTAGAACCTTCTATGGGGTCTTCTGTTTACCTGGAATGAGCACATGAGGGTCTCGTCTACGCTCATCATGGCTCCGGCATTGTCGAACTCTCCGCAGTAGTTAGGAGCAGAGAACAGTGTCACCAGCTGCCTCTTTGCAAAAAACTCATATCCGTCCTCAACCACCTGAAAGCAGATGCAACAAAGGTTAGTGAATGTGGTTTTTAGCCTGATTTCTTCCTGGGATGCTACTGGAATTAAGCATTCACCTATGAAGGGACAAAATACATTTGTAATGCTTGCTCTGCCAGCCATCAGTAAAACTGAGCTGGTCCCACTGCATTACAGATACTATCCAAGTACAGTTCCACCTTACTGTCCCTAAACATCACTAAACATCTGGATGAGGTCTGTTTTTATCAAAGTGCTAAACTTGTTTTTCCTTCATGGTGTGTATGTGAACAGGGGGAGTTAAGATGCACAGCACCAAAATATCACAGGGAAACTAACACCATGTGAAATAGATATACAGTAGTACCAGCCTAACTCTTGTTAACCAACTATGGATGTAACTATTCTCTCTCTCACCTCAATAACACTACACAGAGAGTTCACTCTCAGTTCTTGTACTCCCACTTAAAACAACATCCACAGAATACACGTTCTTGTGCTGACCTGATGGGCCCGACAAATAAGGTCCATGTCGTGTTTGTGGAGGAACTTTGTGACGACGTCGGCGCCGAAAGTGAAGGAGACGCCGCGGTCGTTCTCGCCCCAGCCCAGCACATCCTTGTCCGGATCTGCCCACAGCAGGTCGCAGAGGAGGCCCTGGTCAGGCACATCAGTGGGACGCATGACCCTTCGCACCTGCTCCATAGACTGGAGGTCTGGTGACAGGCCTGGAGAGGGAAAACATTTGTGGGGTCAGAAAGCAGAAAAACTTGAGCTCAGGTGTCTGTGATTGTAAACAAGGCCTGGGTGCAGGTTAACTGCTCGTTTTTATCTTAACTGTAAAAACAAGGCGAGTCTGATCTGTGACAACCAAGCAGCACTGGTAGTTGCAGAAGCTACTTGGATAAGGCAAATATGCCTTGTTGGAACAAAATCACTAAAACCAATACTATGATGTCAACTATTATTATATGTGTGACTTGAGTCAACATCACAAATGGTTTTTAATGTTTCTGTGTAAAATTATGATCATCTAAGACACAAAAACTACTTTTTAATTCCAAGTGTAAGAAATAACTGTGATTAAAAATACATGAGCTGGATTCAACTGCAACGCACAGAACACATTCAAGCAAACATACACTATTCTATCTGTGTGCCCTCTTATGCAACTTCATGTTTGAAGAGGGGGGTTGTGTCTACCCACATGATGAGTGCCTGTTTACATACTTTGTTTCATGGCTCTCACAGACATTAGATAACAGTGGCTGGTTGTTTGTCTGGAAACTTTGTCTGGAGGTCTATTATGTTATACTATTTTCTGAACTCCTGAAGTCTGTTCTTTATATTTTTCTTTCTTAAAGAAATAGCTTAATTATTTTGCTCTTTAATAAGCTTTGTCTTTAAATCTTGTTTAATTGGAATGAACGTCTCTTTGTTTCTTAGGTAGCTGAATATTGTTGGAAATCTTTGGTTGATCTTCAGTTCATAATATGAACGATGTTAAAGCCAGAATGATTCCAAAGGCCCTGTCTGTGGTAACCTCTGTTCACACGTTGTCTGGCTGTGTTCATGGATCTATTGGGAAGGTATATTAAATCTCTACTTTTTTACATGTTATCAGGTGATATGATAGATATATATAAAATAAAAGGATATGGTCCAAAGTTTGCTGATACAGGGAAACATAAATATACTCAAAGAGCAAATTGAGACCCCACAGTCCTGCAGGCTTTTGACCATGGTGTTGACAGCAACAACAGAGCAGAGGCGACTGTGTATGTGACTCTGTGTGTGACTGTGTGTGTGTGTGTGTGTGTGTGTGTGTGTGTGTGTGTGTGTTGAGGATATAAGCCAAATGAACTGTTTGATAAGGATACCTCCATGGCAACAGAAGATCTTCTCATCAACAATAGCTGCAACAGGCAAACAGTTGAAGCAGTCAGTGAAGGTCTTCCACAGCTTTATGTTGTATCGCCTCTTACCTGTGAAAGGAAACACAATTACTTTGTCACAATCTAATCTCAGTACTCATAAAATCTTAACAGCTGCTGCACATGTTGCATCACATCTCAAACAATCCTGGCTGTGTGAACCACAGAGAAAGGCATGTGATTAATCACTGCCCATTCTGCCTGATCATGCTCCTTAGCCCAGAGCCTGGTGTACTGAGAGGTTATCTGTGTTGCAGCTTTTGTTTGACTAATGAGCCAGATTTATCAGCTCTAAAAGGAATAGCTCAGAGTCACATTTGTGAATTATTAAGAGTTTCTTTTGATTTTTGAAGTATCATGACGCTACATTTTTAGACTCGGCTTAAAGTGAAGGGCATGTTGTTTGTTAATGTTAATAAAACGCTGACAACCACATAGGGGACATAAGCAAGAAGATATTTTTAGTTACTGTTTGTCATTTCAATGTAAATGGTAGGATAAATGGATAGTTAGTATGTGTGTGTGGACAATCACGTGGAAAGATAAAGCATTATTTCTTATTAAACATTGACAGCAGTGGTAAGATTAATGTTCGTATCTGTGTACATGTCACAAGACTTACACTCATCATAGAAGCCATATATTCTGTTAATGGAGGCGCACTCGTGGTTTCCCCTCAGCAGAAAGAAGTTTTCTGGGTATTTGATCTTGTAGGCCAGCAACAGGCAGATGGTCTCCAGGGACTGTTTGCCTCTGTCTACGTAGTCCCCCAGGAACAGGTAGTTGCTCTCTGGTGGAAAGCCCCCATATTCAAACAGCCTCAGGAGATCATAATACTGCCCGTGAACATCACCTGGTGAGAAAAGCAGTATTAGAATGGAGACAGCAATGCTGGTAGAGGGTGTGATTATTTCGCTTGTGTTTATGAGCACAACATAAGGTAAGTGAGTCAGATAAAGGTACAACAACACTTGGCACGTTGCAAATTAACAGCAACACCAATAATACACAACAATCTGCTGTTGCCAATGCACAATCTTAAATGAACACTGTTATTCCTGTGTTGCTTGACTCTTTTTATGATGCTGAAACAACTAATTAAATGTGCAAGCTTGCATTTAGTGTGAGGGTGCCGGTAATTCTGATTGCAGTGCAAACTTGGCCTGTTTCTGAAATTTGCAGGATGTTCCTTTAAACAAGAGTTCTTCATTAACTGGCATCAGCAGAATGACACAGGAGGGCAACTCCCAGGAGACGAGAAGTGCAAAACAGCACTGTGCAGACAAGCCTGTATTATCTGTTCGTTTCTTTAGTCCTGCAATTACATGGGAAGGTCGTCGCTACACACTGCGGGCTGCCTTGTGAATCTAAATATTGTTTTCTTTTTAATTACACCTGAAACTTTACTTGCAATTGAAACATTTAAAATGATAGCATGTTGTTAATTTAAGTTTTCTCATAATACTCCAGCACTCTAATCTAAAACTCTAAAAACAGCCATCTAATAGTCTTAGTAAAAGCTGTGTGACCAAATTTGAGAATTCCCTCGACTCTCAAGAACACAACTAAGCCTCACCACAAATCTTGAGTGGCGCCTCAAGTTCGAGCAGGATTGGCTGGCTGAGGAAGATCTCCCGGGATTTGAGGCAGAGACCACGGATTTCATTCTCTGTCAGTTGAACATTTTTGCCAGGTCTGGAGCCTTTCACTGCAAGGGAGAAATGGACAGAGAGTCAGAAACAGTGCATTGGAAACATTGAAGCATATTGTTATTCCCCATTTCTACATTTAAAGCGTATATATTGATTTTTCACTTACAAGAGTTCACATAAACATTGTTTAACAATATTGGCATGGAAGGTTAACACGAACACTACTGTGCACGTTGATCAATATTCATGCATGACCTTTCCACCAAACATCAGAGCCATAAACACAAAAGTTATGGCTGAAACTACAGGCCAACTCTTGTTTAGTGTCATATGTAAATAATGCAATTACACCCCAATGTTATGAAATCTACAAACTTGTTTGATCAGCAGTCCACAACCATCTGTTTACTGTCATGGAGCAAAATTCAACATTTGTGGAGCTGAAAGCAGCAAAAAACGACTGAAATTATTGAATGATTATCAAAGTGGCAGAATATTTGTTCCTCACTCGCTCAAGAATCTATAAATTTAGTTCATATTGGAGACTGAAAGCTGCGAATGTGTTTTTTCTTTTTGCACTCCTCTACAACAATAATCCGCCAAAGCGTGGAGTGATTATATAAAATGCTTTATGTCTTTTGTTGGGTGTTTTGGAATTTCATCGCAAATTCAACCAAAACTCCGGAATACAAGTTTAAAACAGACCCTTTGCAAAAGCGAGGATTGGAACAGCTCGTGATTTTGAGTGTGCTTATAGTAAAATGGTGTTTCTTTTTCCAGAGCCCGCCTTAAAACCTCTGGATGTAAATATCAAGCAAAAACACGACACGACCAGTTACTGACTCGATCCAACTAAACCACCAACAACTCGGTTTAAACAACTCGATGTTGGACTTTGTAATTTTTCCATTTTACCAAACGATCGGAATCACACTGCAACGTTTTGCAGCGATAATTCAGGATTACAAGCCAACTCCGACCGTGTGGACGCTTCCCCGGGCAGAGTACAACACACACATATATATATATATATATATAAAAACATATTTATCACGAGTGAGTTGGATCCACAGATGATATTTTAACATTAATTTCAAATTCGTGTTTCGTTCTCAGGAAGCAGGAGAGAAACTAAACGCGCTGAACGAAAAGAGCAGCGGGCACCGTTGTCTAGCCTCCCGTGTTAGCTAAGATGGCTACCTCGGTGAATAAATATCGACCGACACTGTGGCTCTTACCTTCCAGCAGACGCTGAATAACGGAGTCGATGTTCAACTTGTCGGCTTCGGCCATGCTAATCCTCAGACTCGGTCGGGTTCTGGTCACTTCTGCGAATTCAAGTCGTCGTAACGGTCAACTAGCTACAGAGAAAACGTTAGCTCGGAGCGGTTTTAGCGTTAATCGGCTATCGTTAGCCCGCCAGCTAGCTAGCTAACCTTGGGGGCAGAAATGGCAACCTCAAAAAACGCGAGGCGCTGGCTTGTGAAAAGACGTGGTGGCGGGAGCGCACTTCAGAAATCCGCATTAAGTCACTTATTCCCCGTTACATGTCCGGATTCACTTTAAACGTTCGTGTTTTCCCGTGAAGACGCCGTTTGAGCCGAAGCTAGCAGCACCATGCCATCGACAAAAAGAGGCTAAGGGAGCGTTAGCAGAAAAAGCGAGGATGAACGGAAGTGGGCTGACGGTTCGCTCGCTCCTATTGGTCGGTCTGGCCGGTAGGCGGGGTTTGCGCCGCCCGTCGTTCTCTCCGATTGGCTGAGCCCAACGTCCGTCAGCATTTACTCATCTCTAACCGCTCCGTGAAAAAAATAACAACGATTCTCTGGTTTGTTTCACTCGCTGCTGGATTCAAATGGAGGATTTAGTTTAGACAACGCGAGATCCCGCGCGTTCATCCCCGTCGAGTCAAACACGGGCGCTTGAATCGATGTGTATTTGTGGCGCAGCAGAGCGACACCCAACGGAAGTGACCAAGATGGGAGAACTGACGCCATGACGTGACGTCCCGGCTCCTGACAACACGAGTGATTCATTCTGGAGATGGTTCGGCTCGTCTCTGCTTCTTCACCTCCGCACAAACATGAGTCGGACACACGTTGACCCGCGTGTTTCACTGTAATAACACGGCGCGACACCCGTCCAGCCATGAAGCTGCTGCACAAAGACATTGAGAAAGACAATGCCGGGTGAGTGAGTGAGTGGCTAACAGCTAATGTTAGCAAGCTAACCAGCATGCCTCTTTACAGCTGACTGTACATGTGTCACCTGAGTTCAGGAAATGTCTGCTCACATCGAGCTGCACCTACAGAGACGTGCGGGGGGGATTAATCCCTGTTATCGTTAACATACACACAACACACACAATATATTCACACTCGAGCCATCAGATTCTGTGGCTACAGCTTCAGTAACTCATGAGCTAACACACCTCAGTGAGTCACCACAACAACCCTCCTGATGGTGTTCTAACCCCATAATTACTGTAGCAGCATGGATTATTCATCTTACCCCTAATACTGTGTGTGGTCTTAAAGGAATAGTTCACTCCAAAATGAAAACCCACTCATTGGCCACTCAAGTGAACTGTTTGAGTCCACAAAACACTTTTGGGGTTTCAGGGGCGAACAGTGTTGCAGCCGAATCCAATACGATGGAAGTCAATGGCGACCGATTCTTCAGATGAAACGCTGTTTACCCCTGAAACTCCAAAAGTTTATTCTGGACTCAAACACTTCACTCGTCCATTGACAAAGTGGTGAGTAGCTAATGAGTGTATTTTAATTTTAGGGTGAACTATCCCTTCAAAGAAGATATCCACAGTCTCATTGTCACATCAACACAGGGGCTGTTTCGTTGACTGCATGTGTTTCTCCAGTCAGGTGACTCTGATGCCAGAGGAGGCAGAGGACATGTGGCACACCTACAACCTGCTGCAAGTCGGGGACAGCTTGAGAGCCTCCACTATCAGGTAACCACTGACACGCAAATGTGACATGAGCACCAAACCATTACAACAACTACACACTTTCCCAGCCCTGCAGTGAAGGACGGTGACTGATTCTTCAATGCAGCACATTTCTGCTTGACCTGTTTCACTTACCAGTGCTTTGTTCCTCCACGAGTTCATCAGCATTAAAAAATGCTGCTCTGTCACTGCATGCGTTTGTATGATATCATGGAAAGGGTTGAGTGCCCATTGCTTTATTACAACCAAGGCAATGAACCCAAGACACACCCAACACAAAGAATGCAGCCAGTTCTTATTTTATTGTAACAGGGAAATTAGTAAGCAGTCACTGCTGATTCATGTCTTGCCACAAATGTAAGTTTAAAGAGGCCTGATACTCCAATAAGGCTCTCACGACAGTGTCTGTAAATGATTGCAATTGTCCTTCAGAAGTTTTTTCTTTCGTTCTGCGTATCACTCTGTGACTTGGTCTGGAAAACTCAAACAACTTGTCATCAGCATCACAAATCCACCCTTTCCTCCTGCTCCCACAGGAAGGTGCAGACAGAGTCCACCACAGGAAGCGTGGGCAGCTCCAGAGTTCGAACTACTCTCACCTTATGTGTGGAGACAATCGACTTTGACTCCCAGGCCTGTCGGCTGAGAGTAAAGGGCACTAACTTAGAGGAGAACCAGTATGTCAAGGTCTGAAAACATTCAGTTGTTGTTGTGTCACATTGGTAGAGGTTTCAAATCAAACGTAACACATGTAGATAGTTTCTGATAAGTGTCTGATAGTTTTACTACTCATTTGGTCATTATGTTACCTTCTGTTTAAAATGAGAGGATGTGATTATCATACGTTCCTCTTTTTTCAGATGGGGGCTTACCACACTATTGAGCTTGAAGTTAACAGGAAGTTCACTCTGGCTAAAAAGAGTTGGGACAGCGTTGTACTGGACAGAATCGGTAAGCAGGTGCTTCTGTTGAACTTCATTCGTTGCTGCGATTTATTCAGCCTGGTCTGATCAGTCTCAGCTAACCCTGACTGACAGGGTGACATTTCAGTGGGTTTTCTTTCACAGAAAAATCCACAGTCCTCATTTAGATTTCTTACATAACCAACTACAGTGTGTTGCCATGGAAACAGAATTTGGTGAAACGAGAGCTGACAGATGGGCCTCATGTCTGTGATGGAGTGGGGGTCTATTGAGTCATTGCTGCTGTAATTTTCACCAAGAGAGTTTAAATGTATTTATAAAGTACCAACCACCTCAGGTGATCTGTTTGTCACTTCCTTGTTGTTTCGTAACATTTAGAGCAGGCATGTGACGCCACACAGAAAGCCGATGTGGCAGCTGTGGTAATGCAGGAGGGCCTGGCCAACCTGGTGCTGGTGACCCCCGCCATGACTCTGCTCCGAGCAAAAGTGGAGGTCACCATTCCTCGCAAGAGACGGGGAAGCTGCACCCAGCATGAGAAGGTACGTCACTGCACAGAAAGATGAGCTCCAGCTTTTCAAAGCAAAGGGGAGGAAAGAGAGGGTTAGTGAGTTTGAATTATGAAGAGAGGCAGCGGAAAGAATGATGGACATATTGATTAGAGAAAACAGTCAGCGAGTTAAGGAAGTGTGTCCATCTGACAACCCTAATTGAGAGACAGCCCGTCTTCTTTTGACAGCAAGTAAGTCATGAAAAAGTTACATGAACTTATCACACAGAGATGAAAAAGTTGGACGGACATTTACACCTGGATCTCAGCAGGGTTTTTATACATAGAACCAAAATGAAAATTGAACCGACGTCAGTTCAAAACATCAAAGTTTGTCCCTCTGTTTGCAGGCGCTGGAGAGGTTCTACGAGGCTGTGATGCAGGGGATTCTTCGCCACATCAATTTTGATGGTACGGCTGCTGAGCACATACATACACGATGTTCCTGTTTTAAACCGTACACTCCTGTTTTATTCCAGTTTATTATCAAAAGTTTCGCTTGTTTTCTACCATGAGAAGCTAAAATTTTGAATTTTCTTCCCTCACTAGTGGTGAAGTGCATCCTGGTTGCCAGTCCAGGGTTTGTGAAGGACCAGTTCATTGCATATCTCTTTAAAGAGGCAGTGCGACAGGACAACAAGCTCCTGCTGGAGAATCGGCCCAAATTCATGCTGGTGCACTCGTCATCAGGTCACAAGTACTCACTCAAAGGTAGGAGCTGATGGACTCTGGCAATAACACCATAAAATCGTATCACAACACGTAAACTAAGTAAAATTCTTGTTTTGGTGTTTTGTAGAAATCCTCTCTGATCCCTCTGTGACAAGTCGACTTTCTGATACAAAGGTGAGTTTGTTTTACACGTCATCCTGTAAATGCAGTATTTGATATCTTATTATTATTATTGTGTTAACTGGTGTGAATGTGTAACATGCAGGCAGCAGGAGAGGTGAAAGCCCTGGAAGATTTCTATAAGATGCTCCAGCATGAGCCAGACAGAGCTTTCTATGGGTGAGTGGTGACATAAACTTTGACCCAGTGAAGCGTCATTCCTTCACACTGATGAACCAACAACCCTCGTATCTTTGCATCTTCTCAGACTGGCCCACGTGGAGAAAGCTGCTGACGCTCTTGCCATCGACACCTTGCTGATAAGTGATAAGCTGTTCAGGTACATACTGACACTGTTATTAACTGTGTATTCTCACTGCCAGATATCTTTAGGTTATCTATGTTAAATACACACAGCAGTTTGTTTTTACTGACAGAACTGGCTACAGCTGGAATTTACTCTTTATTAGCCTCTTATGCCACCAGAATGAGCCGAAGATTCTAAAATCAAATGTTAAAAAACAACACATTTTTCATTCTTTGCAAATCACACAACCTTTTACTTATTCCTGCTCCTCGATTGGCTTTAAACTGGTCAGACAAGAGATTGTTTGTGATCCAAACACAGTCACATGTTTTGTGTGTCTCTGTGTGTATACATGCAGACACCAGGATGTTCCCACGAGAAGCCGCTACGTCCGCCTGGTGGACAGTGTGAGAGACAACGGTGGCACCGTCAGGTACCAGTGATCTTCCAAAAGACTCGCTATGTTAATGTTCACCAGGAAGTACACAACAAAACTTACAGCTTTTTTCTGTCCTTGGTTTTTTCATGCAGAATATTCTCCAGCCTTCATGTGTCTGGTGAACGTAAGTTATAAAAACTATTCAGATTTTTATTCAGTACAATCTTTCATCATCTGATTAACAACCCAGCAACACACAATCACACAATTGTCTTCGCGGCCACAAATTGCGTATGTGATTATTTACACATAGAAGAGTGAGATCTGATCATAAATGTCACAGGAGACACATTTAGGACGCATTCCAATTTCAGGTGTGTCATGTTAGTGCTGTCCACCCGAGACAGATGCTAATACCAGTTGTGAACAGGGATTTACTGGTGTCACTTCTCCGCTGTGAAATAAAAGTACTAGGTTGACTCTCTCCATCGACGCCGCTCTCAGTTCAGGAAGTAAACAATGGAAGAAGCTACGCTCTCTGCACTTCTCTACTGAAACATTAAGTCAGCCTTCGTACTGGCTGTGTCGTCAGCTCTTGATTTGTCTCCGTCTGCATCCTCAGAGCTGACCCAGCTGAGTGGAGTGGCTGCCATCTTGCGGTTTCCCATTGCCGACCTGTCAGAGGCAGAGGACGACAGCAGCTCTGACGAAGACTGACCCACAGTGCAGCACTCTCGATCTAAGCTGCTGTGCTATGGTTTATGTATTCCACCTCTACTGCAAGTGTCTTTCAGACTTAATATTCTAAAGTGGCCACGATTCCACATGAGATGCAGTTCTTGGTGCTTTTGGTTTGAGGTGACTGTGTTTGAGAACGTGCACGTGTGACTAAAGTCGGAGCTCTCAGGATGAAAATGAAAGCTATGTTTTGCCACGTTTCAAATGAGAACAGTTAAAGCTTTGACTCATTTTTAGCAATAAATAAATTGATCTTTTTTTCCCAAGTGTATATACAATATATCTTTTCTGCAATTAAACAACAGAAGCATTCAACCACTCGGCTTATTTCATATTTCCACAAAATCATTCTTATATCGCATGGAAAAAAATACAAGCTGGAACAAGATATAAAAATATAATTTATTACATATAATTTCATTGTCCACTTTTGGACAGTTTTGGTTATGGGTTAAAAATACCCAAAACTACTGCATTTCAACAAACTAAAAATCAAGTATGCTCAGGATTTTTAATTAGACGTGATATGAGTTTCACAGTTACAACACTGTCGGGTCCTCTCATTCTTCTCTCGCAAAATGTCAAATTATAAACTTCCCTCATGAAGAATCTCAGCAGCTATAGGACTAAAGTGCATTTTGAAACAACTTGCCTCTCTTCATATCTCATTTCTATCCTCGCAGCGTTTAGTGAATGTTTGCATGGCACACCCGGCATAACCTTAACCCTCATTGGGGCACTGGAAGGTTTTAATCCAGGCTAAATCCTCCAGGGTGCCCCAGTGCAGGTAGATGATCGAGCAAATAACCATGACGTGCATTATCTGGTGGCTGTTGCCCCAGTTGTCGAACAGGCCCGGGCTGAAGCGCTCAGGGATCTGGATGATGTTGACCAGCCCTCCCAGCACAGCCAGAGAGTCCATAATGACAAAGAGGCGCAGGGAGTTGGGGCTGCCCACCCCACTGCCGAACACTCGGAACAAGAAGAGGCTGAAGCGGAACATAGCCTGCCAGACAAAAGCTTGCAGGCGCAGGATGTTGGTGCGGGCCGTGGTGGCACAGTAGATGCCGTAGGCTGACAGGAGGATGTAGGCCAGCAGGGCAGCCTGCTGCATGATGGGGTAGCACAGAAGCGTGATGTAAATGATGGGAAGAGCTCCTACACAGAAAAGGGAAGATGCAGCAGTGAATAAACCGTGTCAGTGAAACTAACCTGAATAGTATTGACTGTTATTACCACAGGAGAGGAACTGAGGGTTGAGTCAGACTTTTGAACTCATGAAAATGAGGACATGAAACTTGGCTTTAACTCTTGATGTCGATTAATCTCTGCAGACCTGATAAGGAAAACAACCACAGTGAAAGACTTTACCGACTTACCGAGGGTGTTCACCAGGCAGACCCCAAACATGTCCAGGGACAGCAGGGTGTCGTACACGTGTTCTCCCCCCACATGGTTCATGAACACATGATAGACCACTGAGCCCACGGTGGGGCAGAGACAGGCCAGGTAGTGCACCACACAGATCCAGATGTTGTCCACCTCCATCCAGGGGATGCTGAAAGGCATTAGCACCAAGAAAAGGAAAAAGGGGATTCCTGAGGTGGGAGGAAAGAAGATAAGGAAATATGTTGTGAAACAGGGCGTTTTTGGTCATTTTCACTGATTTCCCAAAAATAATTCATGAATCCTGATGAAAAAAAGACACATTTTGAGAACTAACATCTATGAGTGTTTGTAATTTGGTGAAGCTTGACTGAACGTCAGGGGACTGATGAGATCGACTGAGTGACATTCTAGTTGAAGCTCGACATTATAGTTAAATTAAAAACTTTGCCATTTGTATGAGGAACTGTTCCTCTGTTTGTGTTCCATCAGGAACGATGTGAAAGACATGGCTGTTGGCTTGATGCACAGAGGAAACCCTGAGTAACGCTCCAACTCTAATGCCCTTCACTTCCCCTGAGTAAGAGCGTTAGTCTTAATGGTCTTAGGGGATAGCCAAGGAAAAAATGGAGCAAGCTGAAGATGCCTTCAGGAGGCTGCATGGGTCTTAGCTCATGTGCAGTTACGTTTCATGTTTGTGTCCAGGATGATTTGCTGAAGATACTTACGGGCATTTACGGCTGAAAAGTGTCGGGCAAACACAAACCTCTTAGGACTGAGTTGAGGGTAGGATATTTCCAGGGCAGGTATTCCCGGGGCAGATTACGGCTAATACCCCCTATCCTCATTACCCACCCTTGACAAGTGTACTTATCTGGCTGCAAGTGAGAGTAGTGCACATTTGTGACCTGTTTTATTTGTACATCTACTGACAATTTTAATTGGGTGCAAGATGAGATAAAACATTGTTCAGTGTGTTTAACTGAGGTCATTTTAAAAACATATTTTACATTTGGTCAAGGCTGTCACCACAAGAGCTGAAGGCAAAGTGTGTGCACGGTTATGTCTGGACTTACCATGGGTGTAGATGTTTCCCAGCTCATTGTGCATGTAGAAGAGACTCCTGACGCACTCCTGAGCCGAGGACACTGGACGGTAACCCGTCAAGACATATTTGTTGAACTGAAGGTGCAGAGGGGTCTTTGCAAAGTCCAACAGCCTCGGCCCTTTGTAAAGCCCCATCACTACTTCCTGCAGCCGATGCTCCCTCACATTCAGTAGATGGAACAGGTTCCTCACCCTCTACATCCTAGAAGAGGCCGCGCTCTGCTCAGGACTCCGCTGTGGCAGTCATGACCACTGCTCCCTGGGAATTCTGCTCCTCGAGACCCATCATTGGACAGGTGTAATTCCAAGCAAGCAACCTGTTGAGCTGGCCAAGTGGCATGCCTTCAGTTGGACCAATCCGCATGCAGATTTTACCGCTAAGCTGGGGTAATCCTCAAGGAAAGCCATGTGCATGACCACAGCTGCTGCCTAACGTAGCTCATAACCCACTCACACCTGAAATTCATCCTAAACACACCCACATTCTGTATTTCTCTCATTGTAGTCGTCACCTGTCACTCATGCTCTGCTGCACACAGGATGATCTGGGGCTCACAAATCATTTACTGTACGTTTGAACACTTTAATTTTAAAATAAATGTAGGAAAGACACAAATGAGCGAAACAGCATTTTCAAATGTTGGGATTCTTTGATAGTTTTAATCGATTAAATACTATACAATGAAGTACTAACAAAGACATTTCCCTGAAAAATAAATTAGACTGAATGAAGTTTTATAGAAGTATTTTGAGTTGAGAACGTCCAGGCAAAACTGACAAATTCAACTAAATCCCTGACTACATGAAGGAATTAATCAACCACTTCTCTGCATGCATAGTTAGTGCAGGACAAATAGGAAACGCAGAAATGTACACTAAAACCTAACAACTCAACATTGCTTCAATGTTAGTTAATCTCTTGCTTTACAAACAAACACAAAAATATGACTATACCAGAGAAAAAATTATAAAATTAATATACAATACAAATATCATACAGCAGAAGAGAAGGAGGTAAAGTGAGATACACAGATGTTGTTGTCACTGTCGGCACAGTTAACCTGCGAGGAGAAAAGACAACGGGACGACGATGAGTTGGGTGTTTGAGGAAAATACAACAGTGAACGATGTTTTATTCTGAGACTGTTCTCACCTTGAAAACCACTGTTCCCAAAGAAGCCATTCAGATCGTACTTTCTGTCCTTTGCTCCTGAGGACAAAGACATTTATTAACAT